GTTTTGATTGGTTTTTTGTCCGGAAACCCACCTGGACAAAACCATCCACAGCCCCAGGGATGGGCTGCTGGGCAAAACCACAACATCCATCTAAGAAGAAACATGCCCCCAGTCAGTCCCAACCTGTAACAGAGCACCATCACTGATGAAGCCCCACACTTCTGCTTCTGTCAAAAAAAGCCTGCCCAAAACTGCTGTTCATACATGTGAGTATCATAGTATCAGAGAATGGTTTGGGTTTGGGTTGGAAGTGACCTTCAGAGTCCTGAAGTTCCAGAGAGTGACCTTGTTCAACCCCCTTACCATGGGCAGGGACATCTTTCACTAGACCAGGTTGCTCAAAGCCCCATCCAACCTGGTCTTAAACCTTTCCAGTGGTGTGGCATCTACAACTTCTCTGGGCAACCTGTGCTAGTGTCTTACCACCCTCTTCATAAAAAATTTCTTCCTTACATATTATCTAAATCTGCCTTCTTTCAATTCAAAACTGCACAGTCACCACAGGCTCTGTTAAAAGGTCATTTTGTCTTACTCACAAATCCTCTGTATATATTGAAAGGTTGCAATAAGATCTCCCCAAAACTTTCTCTTTTTCAGACTGAACAACCCCAGCTCTATCAGACTGTCCTATAGCAGAGGTGCTCCAGCCCTCTGAGCACCTTTGTGGGCTCCTCTGGACTCACTCCAACAGATCTGTGTCTTTCTTGTTCTGGAGGCCCCAGAGCCTGGTGTAGCACACCATGTGGGGTCTTAAGAGCATAGCTGAGCGGGAGCATCGCCTCCCTTGACTTGCTGGCTGCCCTTCTTTTGATGCAACCCAGGATATGACTGACTTTCTAAGCTCTAAGTACACATTACCAGCTCAATTTTTCATCCCCCAGTATCCCCAAGTCTTTCTCTGCAAGGCTGCTCTCAGTCCTTGCTCACCAGATGATTTTCTTTTAGTGCTGGATGGACAAACCAAGCACAGATCCACGCTACAGGATGGGGTTACCTGAAAGCTCTGGACTGCCCCTGACATGCTGCAATGGTCGGAATAAGCAGAAAAAAACCCAAGAAAGCACAAATGAACTCTTCACAATTTCCCACCTCTATGGCATACTTGAAGAGGGAGACCAGACTGTGGTCATAACCAGGGTGAGGATGGCTTTGGATTTGACAAAACTCTCACCAGTTGACATGAGCTGAAGTCATTGACAGCTTTTGTTGCATGTCTCCATTAGAAAGTGTTAAATAGTGACAACAATAACCTCCTGGGGAATATATCTGCCTACATCCAGCACTGTGCCCAGGGCCGTTCTCACAGCAGAACTGCTACATGGAAGGGTCAGTTGCCAGTCAGATCTGGACACCTCCGACAGCTGCAGCAAGTATCCCACCCCCAGCCAGCTCAGTCAATGGAACATGAGACTCATAAAGTTGGGGTTGTGCGTTCAAGCCACACTGGGGGCACAAAAAAGAACTGTTATGGTTTAACTCCACCTGGCAATTAAGGAACCCAGAACTTGCCATTCCTCCCCACAGGAATGGGAGGGGGAGAATGGGAACAGTAAAAGTGAGAAAACTTGTGGGTTGAGATAAAAACAGTTTCATAATTGAAATGAAATAATAATGCTAAATTGTAATGACAATAACAAAAAGAGAGAAATAAAACACCAGAACCACAATGGTGTTGATGCACATGAAAACAATTGCTCATCACCAAATTACTGATGCCCAGCCAGTCTCCAAGCACCTTCCTCCTACTTTTATTGCTGAGCATGATACCATGTGGTATGGAATATACCTTTGGGCAGTTGGGGTCAGCTGAACCAGTTGTGTTTCCTCCTAATTTCTAATGCACCCCCAGTCTCCTCGGTGGTGGGGTGGTGTGAGAAGCAGAAAAGGCCTTGTCTCTGTGTAAGCAATAACTGAACCATACCTGTATGACCAACAGTGTTTTCAGCACAAATTCAGAACATAGCACCCTGTGAGCTATTTTGAGGAAAATTAACTCTATCCTAGAGAAAAACAGTACAGTCACAAAGCAGCCTTGGATCAGAAGCCAGGAGTGGTGCACAGACCTCTGTTTATATGAAAGAACATCAGTGTCCACCTGCTCTAGCCATCCTGCTTGGTACATAGGTCCTAAAATGTGTAACATGGAGGGGTGATGTTCAATGCTTATGCCTATCTCATCTAAAGTTGCCCTAGGACAGCTGTGTTGGGCACACCCTTGAGGCTGGAAATCAGTGCATTTCCACACCCATTTTGATCGAAGAATGAGTCTGGGTTTGCATAAGAGAAAACAGATGATCCATTCTTGCTCGCTTCTTGTCAGGGAAGCCTCTGGATTTGCTGCCATGTGAAAGAAATGTCAGTTCTTCAATATCCATAATAAACATGTCCAATATAGAGTTAATTGGCCCTGCCTGCAGGCAACCAAGCTAAGTTTGAGAAAACCACAATTATACTGCAAGCCCTGACAGGAGGAAGTTGACACAGTGCTACAGGTAAAGAAATATGGTCTTAGCATTGCAATTGGAAAGTCCTGGACTTTATGTTAGCTCTGCAGACCTCAGGACTTGTCTTACTCTGCTTGAAGAATGACTTAGAATTATTATCTGGCTTATTTTTGGCATAGACTTTGTTTTGGGCAATGCAGTGATGCTTATAATAATGTGAATACGTTTCTGTAACAAGGACATAATAATCATTAGTTATTATTCTGTGTAGACTGAATTCTCTATCTCCCAGGAATACAAATGAAATGGAGTGTATTTGGTTTATGTGGCAAGGTTTTGGAGATGCAAAGACTGCAGAGTGGCCTTTGTGTAAACAGACTCGGGACTCTCTCCATCTCAGACAGTTTCAACTGGCTCCAAAACAGACACATCACTGTCCAAAACTGAGCCCATCACTGAAGCTGGTTGTACCTCTGTCAATAATATATTTAAGAAATGTTAAAACCACAGCAGCTGTGTGAGAGAGGGATGAGAAATGTATGAGAGAAACAGCCCTTTGGACACCAAGGTCGGTGAAGAAGGAGGGAGAGGAGGTGCTCCAGGGATCAGAGAGCAGAGATTCCCCTGCAGCCCATGGAGAGGACCATGGTTTAGTGTTCCCCCCACTGCAGCTCATGGAGGTCCATGGTGAAGCAGATACCCACAATGCAGCCATGAAACCACCATTGTTCAACTGCAAATGCTAAAGAAATGCAGCCTTGTGAACAAGGTTGTGGAGAAGCACTAGAAGACAAAGCTCAGCAAGAAGTGTCTGTGTTGGCAATCATTCAGCAGAAACAAGCTGTCCTTGGAAGCAGGAGCCTTTAGGGAGCTTGGTGTGCTGTCTTGAGAGAGGTTGAAAAGGAGCAGCACAGGGGGAGCTGTGGATGTGCTCTGTTTCAAACGATGCAGCTGATTGGAGCTGAGCCACAGGAATGGCCCAACCAGTGACCAAAAGCCAAACGGTGTTTCATTAACTTAAAAATACATATTTTTTCACTTGAAAAAGTATATACACATTTTGAAAATACATATTACTTCTCATGCCCTGCATATGCTAATGAAGTAAAACCTTTATGTATGAGTACCACTTCAGGTTTTTTAACTACCAGATGTAGTGGTAACCAGAAGGGACCCTTTGCTGAGGCTTGCTAGAAAATACTTTCAGGTGCAGAGATCTCTGTTGTACCTGAACACAGATATGGGAGAGTGGAGCTGCATTCCATACAGAGGTTTTCTACTAATTTAGTTCTTTGGAAGAGTAGTGGGCACTGAAGTCACAATAATGGCTACTGGAAAATGCTCATAGAAATTACAATGGTTCACAATCTACACAGATGGATATTCCTCTGGTATTTTTCTGTACCAAATAGGATGGTTGGCAAGGGAAGATAGACATGTGTTTGAGCTTGTAGCACAGATACCTTTTATACCAAAAGAGAGAAAAAGGTAACTATGGGTAGTGATTTATTTCAAAGTGGTATTATTTCTTTTAAGTAGAAAGTAAACAAATCATTTTAATATTTAATTTCTCTGGAAGGTGATTTCTGATTTCTAGCAGACTCTATCTTATGTTGCAATACAATGAGAACTGAGCAGTCTTCTGGTAGGACAGTGCTTACTTGGTAACAAGAGTTCATAGTTCAGACACTTGATGCTGAAGCTTCAAGTTGGTATTTTCTGAAATGTGCATTTTTTTTAAACCAGAATTTCAAACCACTGCAAGAGCTGTAAAGTTGAACTCAAATGTTACCTTTATGTTATGTCAGATGGTTGTTTTTACAAGTCTACCTATCACAGAGAAATAGCTCCCATCCTCTTACAAACCCTTGCATGAACATGCACACGAATACATGGAAAAAGAATCTGTTTGGGTTTTTATTTTTTGTTTGTTTGTTTGTTGTCAAAGAGCATTTCAAGCACAATATTTCAATTGCCCAGTAATGCTTAATGGTTGTAATCTTAATTTCAGTGGTTCCACTGAAAGAGAAGTGATTAAAAGGAAAAAAAGGAAAAAAATTAATTAAAAAGACGAGGAGTCACAGAGAAATAAATCTTTCAGTTTACTCTTGTTTGATGTAATTTAGCTGTGAAGGTTTGCAATGAGACCTCCACCTGAACTGCCTGTGTTCTGAGGCACACAAATAAGATACTATCAGAGTCTGAGTTTTATGTCCTATTTTAGATATCCAATGCACTTAGATACACTTCAGATTGTCCAATCCAATTGGATTGATTATGGCTTTAAAATGCTTTTACCTTTTGAATGGCTATAAGAGGGCTCTAAATTACAGCTCAAATGGATTGTAAATGTCTAAATACGGTTAAACAAATCCACACCTTCATCTGATCTAGATTCCCTTAGGTTTTTTGGTATCTTCTGTTTTCATCCATGACACTGACCATCTGGAAACACAAAAGACTCTTGAAAACAAGCCCTGATGTCCTCTGATGTCTCTTTTTTTACATTCTAAGCACTTGTCTGTACCAAATTCATCACTGTGGTCATTCTCAACCTTAGTTAAGGTGCCAAAAAAACCCTTTCCTTTTTAATTGTTTTTTCAGAGACCCTTTTACCTCCATGTTTCAAAGGGTGTAGATGAAAGGGTTTAGCATGGGAATAACAATAGTATAGAAGATGGAGATGGTGTTATTTTTATCAGGTGAAGATGTGGCCCCAGGCTGAGCATACATGAAGAAAACTGTCCCAAAGAACACGCAGATGGTCATCATGTGAGAGGAACAGGTGGAGAAGGCCTTGTGCCTGCTTTCAGCTGAAGGCATTTGGACAATTGTGATGATTATATAACCATAGGAGATTAAAAACTACCAAGGCAGTGCCCACAATAATGGATCCACACACAGTCAGCATTATTAGTTCATTGACAAGTGTGTCTGAACAGGAAGCGTGCATCACTGCAGCAACATCACAGAAGAAGTGGTTTATTTCTTTGGGCCCACAAAAGGACAAACTGAATGTAAAGCCTGTCTGGATGGTGCAGTTGATGCAACCTGACAGATAAGAGGCCATCACCATGAAAACACAGAGTCTTTTATTCATAATCGCTTGGTACAGCAGTGGATTGCAGATGGCAGTGAAACAATCATAAACCATCACAGCAAGAAAGAAGGCTTCTGTTGTACCAAAGAGAGAGAATAAGAACATTTGTGAAGCACAGCCATTGTAAGAAATGTTTCTTCTGTCCAGTGAGAATATCAGTGTTGCTCTGGGAGTGATGACAGAGGAATAGCAGATGTCCAAGGTTGACAAGTTCTCTAGGGAAAAGTACATTGGAGTGTGCAGTTTGGAGTCCATTCTAATGATGAGGATCATGCAGACATTTCCTACAACTGTGACAGCATACATTGTTGAGAAGAGAACAGAGAGGAAGAGTTGTGATCCTGGATGAGATTTGAACCCAAACAAAGTGAATTTGGTTATCTTGGTGTGGTTTTCCATATTTTTTTTCAGATCATGTTCCAAAAGGAAATCAGTGGATTTCCAAAAGGAAAGCAGTGGATTTCAAATAGTTTGCCTGGAGAAGCAATTAGAAGAATAAGACAAACAGTGAGATATATGAAAAATAAGAAGTATGAAAAATAGACAGATGGAAAAGAATACAAAATTGATGAATCTATCATATCTGTAGATTTTGTAAACTACTTGTAAATTAATTTTTAAAAATTCATAAACTAATTACACTGTGATATTATCTTCAGTATAATGAAACACTCTGCATGCAGCTTATCTAAACTATTTTCATTTAATCAACTTTACAATCAACTAGAAACAGAAATTTCATTATACAGTTAAAGACCTATTTCAGGTTTAACTGGGCAGGAAAAAGTCTTATCCTAAGATTGCAACTACCCACAAAAGACTGCTGTCCCCTAAAGAAACAAACAAAAAGAATATGCTCCTTCAGATAATGCAAAACAATTAAAAATATATATAAAACAAGGAATGCATTTAAAGAATGTAGATTTTTTTTTAAAGCCTGTTATTAAAAAAAGGTAACACTTCTTTATGTGAGAAATTGAGGTTTTTCTTTTATTAAAAGTAGTTGAAACAAAACCCTCAAATGTTGAGATTTCTGAAATCAGTTTTCTCTATTCAAATATTAATTCACACACTAACTGACAGAACATTTCAAATAATTCCTTTTCAATTCTATTTAGTAATTTTATTTTCATAAACTGGGTGTCATCTCAACTAGGCTTGAATACTTTCAGTGAGTCGATGCCTACATTAGAACTCATAGTTTAGATTACCTTTAAATCCAGAACTAAGCACTCCCACTTTAGAATATTTACATAGAAGGTATGAATCATATTTGAAGATTTTCTGGTTTTCTCTACTGACCTAAAGGGAAGCCCAGTTCAGGCATAGCTAAATATGCTGCATGTATAAAGATGTACATAGGTGTATAAAGCTGAGTGATAGGTATCCCCATCCAGTTACTGGTATTTTGTTTGATTTGCTGTCATTTCCATTAGATAATTTTTCATAACCTACACATACCTAATCTTTTTAAAACACTGAATCAGTTTTAACACATTACTTCAGCCCTCCCTTTATAGTCCTTGAAATGTCCCCTCATCTCTGGGGGCCCTTGGAAGCTCTGTTTACTTCTTCGTTCTTATTTACACGTGTCTTAGAAAAGGGAAATAAATTTGGAGAAGGAACTTCTTGTCTGAGCTTGCTCTTCAAATATTTTGGTTAGTTTGGCTATTTGGCTTGGGATTTTTGTGTACAGAGAACTCAAGTTTGGACAGTAAAGGCCAAGCATCTAGTCAAAGCTTATTCAAGCCTGTTGTCTGTAGCTTCCACTATTGCTAAAGCTTCCCCTATTGTTAAAAGAGAGAAATAGAAGCATCCACTGTGTGATCCTTTTACCCCCACCATACCTGTTCAAAAAAGGAGAAAAACAGTCCCTTAGAGGTATCTGTCTTTCTTAAAGGAATCAAGCTAGCAAGAAAATAATAAGGAAAAAAGAGGTGTTTTTGCCCACAATAATGGAAAGGAAATTGCAATTTCAAAATTTCAAAATTCAAAATTTCAAGATTACGTGTTACTGTGGTCAGCCATGTGATGGATGTGTGATCTTGTCTGACCTAACTGACCTTATATTTGAATTATTATTTTTATTCTGGTTTTCTGTGTAACCATCAATGATTTAAATGTAACAGATGTAAACTTATGAAATAATTTCATAATAATCAAACATATTTTCAACTCAAAGGGATCCTATATACTATCAAAATTGTTAAGTTGAAATAACAATTATTACTGCTTAAAGTAGATGTCTTTTAAAAGAGATGTCTTTTAACAAAAGCCTAAGCTAAGAGTGAAGATGCTGGAAATACTTTTCTAGCCAGTGAGAGGGGAAGATTTCTGATTCACCTGAGATCTGAAGAATCTCCGGAACTGTCTCTTGGTTGATCAAAACCAGGAAGTTTAGGATGTAGACACATTAAATACTGGCTTCCTGTTAGCAGACTTACTTTCCAGAAGAGCTAACTGTATTCATAAGCCCTGATTACTACATGCTATGTAGTCAGAAAAAGAGGAAACCACTTTTAGTCCAGTTCTATCACTAAATTTAGCAAAGCAAAGCTCAGAGTTCACAAAGCACAATACACATACCTTGTAATGCTGTGATTAAAGCCAGGTTTGGTTTTTGAAATTCAGATTTCTTGAACACAGTCAAAATAATTGAACATGTTTTCTACTCAACTAATTTTTCAGTAGTCTCTTGGTAATCGATCCATCACTGGCCTTTCATCTCACTGGTTCTAAGGGGATTCTCCTTAGCATGTTGCTTATATATACTTAAATAGATGTGCATAAAACCACTAGGGATTTAGTTTCTAGAATCTTGGATCTTCACAGCAGACATCTGAACCTCAAATGAGATATTTTTCCCTTGTGCCATTTGTCTTTGCCTGCAGAAGAAGAAAAACCAAGAGTAAACCACAAACAATTATGTCTAATGCTGCTTCAGTATCTCTTTTACCCCTTATTTTTCATTGTTTCTTATGTAGAATTCTTCCTGCTCCTTGTAGGTCTCCTTCTGCTAAGCAAAACACTGTGGACCCTGTTAGGACCCTGTTAGGACCAAACCCTGTCAGCCATTGCAAACTGTCCTTCCAGATTATGAAAACAGAACTGACACCCTTGCCTTCTCCCCAAACAAAATTCTTCTCTTCTCTAACCAAAAACAACTTTCCACTAAATGTGCTCTCTTCTCTGACTGGGAGGGAAAGTGTACTCACCATCTAAAGCTTAGAAATGTGATTCACATTAGTATCGAACCTCTAATGGAAAACTGCTCTGGAATCCAGAGCCACTCCAGGAAGAAAAGCATCATCTCACAACTCCTGTGCGTGTACCTCAGACACCCTAGGACATGCTACTGTTTTTCAAGCAAATTTGCATTCTTCTCAGCACAGGAGAATCACATTTAGTTACAGCAGACTATATTAAATTTTCCTTGTTTTGGTCTGTAGTTTTAAATAAATCTACATGAAATAGATGTTCTTGATAAAAAAGCTTCTCAAATTTTGTGACTCATGATAGATCAATTTTTGCTAAAACCAGACTATTTTACATTTGCATACATTCCCATCAGCTCCCAGGGGCAGAAAGCAAGATTGAGAGAGATGGTAAGAGTCTTAAAAGCTAAAATTGGACTTCCAGTCTTACCTACATTACTTGTGGGAGGTGACTTATTTACATCTAACCTTGAATTTGTGAAAGCGTTTATTAGGAAAGCTTTCAGACATGAACTTTTAGATGCAAGAGATAGCTTGCATTCTCAAAAAGACTGTGTTTGTATAAGACTTTTCTGTGTTTTCTCTTTCCCTAAGAACACTTAGAAACCTCTGTTGAATAGGTAATCAATTATTTGTTTCAGGTTATCTAATGACATCATTATTAGTGTACCTAAACCCATAATAATTGGATGGTAATCGTCTACACAGTGTATTTGAAAGATTTTCTTGACATTAATTTCCAAACAATCACCTTCAGATCAGTGCTTTTAACCCAGTGTCAATGTGTGTAACCAAATCACCGGATTAAAGGAACTTCACACCGTGCAAAATTTAATACTTCAATGGAAAACTCACTATGGAGTACTGAAATGCTATCATTTGCACTTTGTAAATGAAAAACTGAAATGAGAGAAGAAATAGATTAGGTGATTATTGGTGTATAAATAATTTAACATACTGTAAGAAGAACAAAGTAACCTAACACTGTACTGATTTTGGCTTGGATAGAGTTAAATTACTTCATAGTAGCTTGTATGGGTCTAAATTCTGGATTTGTGATGAAAACAGTGTTGAGAACACAGGAATGTTTTAGTTATTGCTGAACAGCTCTGCCACAGTGTCAAGGCCTTTGCTGCTTCTTGTACAATTCTGCCAGTGAGGATGCTGGAGGTGGGCAAGAAGTTGTGAGGGAACACAACTGGGACAGCTGACCCCAGCTGACCATATAGGATCATGCTCAGCAATAAAAACTGGGGAAAGAAAGAGGATGCAGGGATGTTTGGAGTGATTGCATTTGTCTTTCCAAGTAACTGTAACTCATGATTCCTCTTTTCCTAGAGATGGCTGAACATAAAGGCATATGTTATAGATAAAGATAATAAATATCCTTTAGGGTGATAATCCATATGCATGAGAGGTAAAGGAGCCTAAGGTAGTTTGCCTAGATATCTAAATAGACATTAGACTTCAATGCCTAAACTTAAGGTATTTTTGGAGGAATCTCTATCTACCTGTATCTGTAGCTGTTGATCTCTAATGCAGATTTAAAGAACCACTGGATTTTTGGCTCCTTTCCAATGGTTCATACTGTAATGTATATTCATATTGTGTCAGTTACCTATTTTCTCATCACAGATTTTCTGCTAATGCCTGTAATACAGCGAGCGCCCCACATTTCTGGTCATAGCTCCCCATTATGGTTAACTTCAGGCTGTTCTTGACACCTCTCCTTAACCTTGTGCTCAAGTACTTACAAAGGTCTGATTTAAAACAGTTGTATCTGTGGCAATATGTGGCAACAATATGAATAGACAAGTTCTTCCAGCAAGCGTCTTACAGTTTCTTCCCTGGAAAACTGGATGATTCATAAAGTGCAAAATCTGAAAAGACCATATGCTAATAAAGAGCATAGAATACCAGAAACTACAGTCTCAGTCACAAACTCAAACCCATATTTAAAATGGTCATATGTATTTAGCTGACATGTTTATTTGTTGGCTTGTTTGTTACAGAATATTAAATGTTTTTAAGCACTTTGATATTCTGAATATGGAGTAGTTTTCTTAGAGGCACCATTTCACCAGAAGATCAGTGTTTAACTCAGTCTTTCCAGACTCGTGCACAAGATCATGACTACTGCTGGAATACTGCTGGATCCAAGGCTCATACGTTTCCAAAACTTCTCTTGAAAACTGGAGAAGTCATTCAACTGGAGACTTAAGAATGGGTGACAACATAGATTCTTTGGGGGAATACAAAC